AAAATAATACTTCTTTGGAGTTGCTGACTAGAGAAGTTTGTGGCTTTATAAAAAATAATACTTCTTTGGAGTTGCAAAATGAACCTGTAAAACATACATTTAAGTCCCTCTAAATTCTTTAAAATCTGGCATTGAACCCTCAATGCCATCACACCTCAAAAAAAAGGAGAAATTTTAATACGCCCTTGATAGCCTCATGAAGGGCTCTCCATTTATACTGCATGAAACCCTCATCTTCCTATTATAATACCAACTGCAAGACTCTAGATATTGGTTTCCCAGCTCAAATCAATTAAGTCATTAGTCACTATCATCGTGGTCGATTGATTAGATTGTGGAGCAGAGATAGAGGCCAACTAATGTGAAGTTTTTATATTAGTTCTAAGATATGTTTTTTTTTTTTTTGAAATTTCATTTGATGACTTTTATGCCATTATTTTGAATGAATCAAATGTTTTATCTTGTTTTATTTCAAAAGAGAGTAATCTTTGTCTAAATTAAAAGTTGGGAAACTTTGAATTTGAATCTTGTGTGATTTCTTAAGCGTTTCATCAAATGTTTTCTTAGTGAACATGGAACCAAAGGCATCCTCTATCGTAAAATAATTTAAAATTATAGTTGTGGTGGAAACTTTAGAGTACGTGCATGCTATTAAATTTTAATTAATATGATGTTGATGATTTATGAATCAAGGTCATTGGTGACGTGATTTTTCATGTGATAGGTCTTTTGTATTGCAGGTTAGGTCTCAAAGTTTATGTTGGGTGGTTAAAATTTTCTTTAGTAAACTTTAATTTTACCAAACATGCTATTTGAATATAACCATTGGCGACATTGAAGTCAGGAGAGCCTAAGCTGAGTGTTTCCTAAACGATAATATTAAAATATCTTGTTAAGCTCAGAAGGTTAGAGTGTAAAGTGATATTGTAGAACTGTGGTTGGACTAACATCTTTTGAAGATAAGAGCTAGTAGACATGTGATTTTGGTGGTTTTGGTACGCATAGGGGAGGTAAGAAGATGCGGCAAATGCTGGTAGATGGAATTGATGGGGATATGTTATGAAGGAAAGGTTGGAGATAGTGACATAGCTAGAAGTAGTATAAAAAGGAATTTTCACAAAATAGAATTATTATATTATCTAGCTCTCAACAAGGAATTGATGAGGATTGTTAAATACGACCTATGTTTTTGGGCTATTGCCAACGATGATTATTCATTAGTCTTCAATTGCTTCGTTTACTTTTTGTGTAGCATGTTCATCAAACTGCCTTGTCACTTGACATCATCTGTTCGTACTTTTAATGATACCAGGGACAATGTGAAGTTGAATATTGTGTTCTTTTCATTTTCTATATAGTTTTACACTTTGGGCTAAAGCAAGTTTAATTTTTCTATTTTTGTGCAGGGGTTGGAGTTGGATTCATCTCTGCTTTGATATCCTTTTGAAAGCATTACTCCTCTTATCTTGATTATAGCTTTCATTATTTTAATGTTTTTTTTATTAATGGTTTGGATTCAGGCCTTGATGTTGCCAAAGCTTGTGGATTTGCTCACATCCCTGATATTTTAAACCTAAGCTATATTTGTGTGGTCATTTCTACATTATCAACTTGGGCCTAAAATTTGGGGTTTATTTATATTGTTTATCTGTATACTTCAAATAATTCATTCCTTTAGTCCTCAATTTTAGAAGAAAACATGTTTGGAAGTCAAACTAGAAGCTTCATTCTCCTTTTTAATTTAAATTTTGCTGGAAACTGAAGGTCTGACGCCTAGCTGGTCATATAGCTTGGCTTAAGCTTGGCAGCAAAATTTTGCCAATCTGTTTTTCTTTTATTCCTTCTTGCTTAAATATTTTTATTATAGCATAAGAAACAGTATTATGAGTTACATTTAGGGGGCTGTTTGGTTTGATAAAGAAGATTTATAAAGAAAAATGAATGCATACATTTTGAAAGTTGGGTGTTTGATTTGAGAAAAATGGAACAAACTTTAAAATTTTTGAAGTAATTAGAATTAACATTAATCATTTTCTATGTATTTGACTTCTACCAAATTTTAGGTGCATTTAATTTACTTTGTATGAGTGTTTGTTGGCCGCCTTTTACCAATTGTTGATCTTCGTCCGCTGCTGGCCGCTTGCCCCAAACCGCCTCCCCCTCCCCCCTCCGGAAAACCCGTTGA